GTGCCACCCTGGGATCCCTGTCCCCTCACCCCAAGGTCCCTGTCCCCTGACCCCGGGGTCCCTGTGCCACCCTGAGGTTCCTGTCCTCCCACCCTGCTCCAACACCGGGGGCCCTGTCCTGATGCCAGGGTTCCTGTCCCACCCTGAGTTCCTTGTCCCTCCACCCCGGGGTCCCTGTCCCACCCTTGGTTCCCTGTCCCCCCCTCTGCCCCAGCCAGGACGTTACCTGGGCCACAACTTCACAGCCAGGAGGCCCAGGGTGGCCACGCAGACGAGGGCCACCAGCAGCCCGGCCAGGATGGTGAAGGTCAGCAGGCGGGTGAGGGCTGTGGGCACATCCCCACAGCAGGGGGTCAGAGCACATGGGACCCCCCAGACCTTGGGGTGCCCCCCAAGGGGTGAAGGGGACCCTGGGGTGGTGGCTGTGACAGCCAAATGCAGGGGGGGGGGCTTGGTGCCACTGCCAGGTCCCCAAGGTTGGGAACAGCCACTCAATGGGTCCAGGATGCACACAGGGGGGGTCACAGACACCAAGCTGGGACCCTACTGGGACTTGGGGTGACCCATGAAGGGTGAAGGGGACCCTGGGGTGGTGTCTGGGACATCTGACTGCTGGTGGTGCCACTGCCAGGTCCAGAGGGGTGGGGACAGCCAGTTTTGGGGTGAGGACATGTGGGGGGGTCACAGGCTCCATGCTGGGACCCCGCTGGGAGCAGCCACCACTCCTGGCTGTCCCTGCACACCTCACTGTCCCCTGCCCTGAGGGTCGGGCAGGCTGGCACAACGCTGGGTGCCACCCCAGGAAGGGCACTGTCCCCTGGGCACAGGGGGTGTCCCCAGCACAGCCCCCGCACATCCCGCCGTGTGCTGACCCCGAGCCGGCTCCTCCTCCCTCATTTTGGACCATCCCCGGCACCACCCAGCTCCCTTTGCTGCTTCCGTGAGCCCTTTTTCCGGCCCTTGCCCAGCCCCCCCAGAGCCCCCGGGGGTCACTCACTGTTGACATCGAAGTGGGCGCTGGCCGTGGCGTTGCCCAGGGCGTTGGTGGCCACGCACAGGTATTGCCCGGCGGCCCCCGGGCCCAGCGCCCCCAGCTCCACCCGCAGGGCGCTGTGGGAGGGGGCCACCCGCACCCCCGGGATGGCGGGGGGGGCCGGGCTGGAGGCCAGGAGCCGGCCCTGGTGGAGCAGGGCCAGGGAGGAGGGCGGGTGGCTGTCGGCCCTGCACAGCACGATGCCCGCCCGCCCGCCGCGGTTCTCCAGGAAGGTGCTGACGGACACGTCCCGGGGCGGGTCTGGGGGGGCAGAGATGAGGGGTCGGCGGGTCGTGGCGTGGGAAACCCCGCTCTGGCCTGGACGGTCACTAAAGGCTGCTGAACGCATCCCTCCTCCAGCCTGGGTCAGCCCGTCCCACCCATCCCAGGGCTCGGGGCTTCCTGCGCTGTCCAGCCCTTCTCTCCCCCCCAGCTGGAGAATCCTCCCTTGGCTCCAAGTCTGACTTTTGAGGGGTCAGTTCTGGGAAAAATCCCGATGTCCCCTTCCCTGGGTCACTAAGGGTTGACTGGTGCTTCCCTCCTCCAGCCTGGATCATCCAGGGCTGGCAGATTCACACCCTCTGCAGCCCTTTGCTCCCCCCCTCCCCGGCCACGGCTGGAGAATCCCCTCGACTTGGAGCTCTTTAGCTCCAAATTTGTCTTTTGAGGGGCCAGTCCTAGGAAAAAAAACCCATATCCTGTTCTCTGGGTCACCAAGGGCTGCCCCACTCATCCCTCCTCCAGCCCGGATCATCCCTATCCCACTCCCCCTCAGGGCTGGTGGCCCCCCGTGCTCTCCAGCCCCTCACTCCCCCCCAACTGGAGAATCCCCCAATCTCGGCTCCGAATCTGACTTTAGAGGGGCCAATCCTTGGAAAAACCTTCCCCGGGTCCAAAGGGAGAGGAGCAGGGCAGGAAGAGGAGGAGGAAGAGGAGGACGGTCCCTCGCCCATGTGGAGGGGACACGTGTGACACGTGGCTGGGGGCTCTGGGGGGGCTCCGCGCTGCCCTTGGCGGGGCTGGGGACACTCACAGAGGACGCTGAGGCCGAGGGGGGCCGAGCCGGCCGTGCCCCAGGCCCCGCTGGCCAGGCAGCCGTAGGAGCCGGAGTCGGCGCTGGAGACGCGGGGCAGGACGAGGGAGGGGGACGGTCCCTCCCGCAGCCACCGCCCGTCCCTGTGCCACGTGTAGTTGGCGCCTTCGCCCCACCAAGGGGGCACCGAGCAGGTCAAGGTGGCTCTGCCGCCCTCGGGCACTTCTGGCGACGGCTCCACCGTGACCGTGACCCCTGCGGGGGCAGGAGGGAGACGGGGAGTCGAGGGATGCCCGGGACACCACCCCCAAAATCCCCCCCCGAGGGCTCCCGAGAGGCCCGTTGGCACCCCTGGGACCCCCCCCCGGGGGCTCGGGGCCCCCTCACCTGCCCCGGGGAGCTGCAGGGCGGCGGCCGCGGTGCCGTGGCTGTTGTTGGCCGAGCACAGGTAGAGCCCTGAGTCCCGCGGCCCCATCGCCCCCAGCCCCACCCGCAGCGCGTTGGGCGAGGCCCGCACGTCCAGCCCGGGGGCGGAGGGGCCGCGGGAGGAGGCCAGGGGGGGCTGCCCGGGCCCCCGGCTCACGGCCAGGTCCGAGGGGGGGAAGCTGTCGACGGAGCAGAGCAGGACGGCCTGTCGCCCCCCCCGCGGGTCCAGCAGGGAGGTGAAGGTGGGCTCCTGGGGGGGGTCTGCGGCGACAAGGACGGCGCGTGTCCCCCCCCTTTGCCCCGCTGCCGGCGCGGCACCGGGGGGGTGACAAATGACAGGGGAGGGGGCGCGATGCCCGGCAGCACCGGGGCCCCCCCGCTCCCCGAGGGAGGGGCCGGGATATCGCGGCGTGTCGCGGGATGTCACCAGGTGGCGACACAGACCGGCCAGCGGACCCCCGTGAGGGGGTCCCGTGCGCCGGCGGGACCCGCCGTGTCCCCCCCCTCCACCCCCGAAAGCGGCCGCCCCTCACTCACAGAGCACCCTGAGGGCGGCGGGGGGGGCCCGGTGCCCCCTGCCCGCCTGGCACGAGTAGAGCCCCGCGTCGGAGCGGCGGCCGCGGAGCCCCAGAGAGGCGGCGAGTCCCTCCGCCAGCCACCGCCCGTTCCTGAACCACGTGTACGGCGTCCCGGGGGCGGCGTGGGGGTCCCGGCACGTCAGGGTCACCTCCGTACCCTCCGGCACCTCGGCCGAGGGTCGCACGACCACCCTGACGGCTGCGGGGGGGAGGAGTCGGCCGTGACCGGCAGCACGTTTTCACCCCAAAGTCCCCACCCCAAATTCAGAGGGCTGGGGGCACAGGGTGGGCGCTCAGGGGGGGTGCCCTGGGTGGGGGCACAGGGTGGGCGCTCAGGGGGGGTGCTCACCCAGAAGGACCCCCCTGTCCTTCCACCTGCCCCACACCACTCCAGACCCCCCCGATATTGGGTCCCCCCTGATATTGGGTCCCCCCTGATATTGGGTCCCCCCAATGGCCGTCCCCCTGGACGCCCACCCCAACTATCGGGGGGGTTCCCATCCCCTTTCCCTCTCCCCTTGACGCCCACCCAACCCACCGGAGGGGTCCCCAGCCCCTTTCTGTGCCCCCCCCAGGACTCACCCTGCACCCGGAGGGTCAGGGACACGCGGGCACTGCCGAGGGGGCTCCGTGCCTGGCACTCGTACTCGCCCTCGTCCTCCTCGGACGCTTCCCGGAGCTCCAAGCGCAGCGTGTTGGGAGAGGGGGACACGTGGCTGCTCTGCCGGGGGGGGGCCCCTCCCCAGGGGGGGCTGGAGGCCACCGGCTGCCCCCCCCTGAGCAGGGTGAGCCGGGATGGGGGGTTGCTGTCCACGGAGCAGAGCAGGATGACGGCGCTGCCCTCGCTGCTCTCCACGAACGATTTCACCCGCAGGTCCCGGGGGGGGTCTGCGGGGGGGAAACCACGGGGGAGACGAGATGGACCAGAGGATAATCATGGAATTGTTTTGGGTTGGAAAAGTCCTCTGACCCCACTGGGTTCCCCCAGCACTGTCAAGGCCACCCCTGGCCGTGTCCCCAAGTGCCACATCCACAGGGTGTTAAAACCCCCCAGGGATGGGGACTCCCCCCTGCCCTGGGCAGCTGTGCCAGGGCTGGGCAGCCCTTTCCAGGGGGAATTTTCCCAATATCCAACCTGAGCCTCCCCTGGTGCAACTTGAGGCCGTTTCCTCTAATCCTGTCACTTGTTTTTTGGGAGCAGAGCCCGAATCCCCCCCCGGCTCCCCCCTCCTGTCAGGGGGTTGCAGAGCCAGAAGGTCCCCCCTGAGCCTCCTTTTCTCCAGGCTGAGCCCTCCCAGCTCCCTCAGCCCCTCCTGCTGCTCTAGACCCTTCCTCCTGGAACGTCCCCAGCCTGGGATGCTCTGATCAGTGCGGTGGCTCCACCCGACATTCCCCACCCCAAACCAGGAGGAGGAAGGGAAGGCCCTGGGGTCCCAGGCTCCGGAGGCCATTCCAGGAGCTGTCTCCGACTCTCCTCATGCGGATTTATAAGTTAACACCACCTTTTTCTCATAAAAAGGGGAAAAAAAAAAATCTTACATTCTCACTTGCAACTATATTTCCCCCCCCCTTTTTTTAAACAAAACCTGGTTTTCATTTTCCAAATGAGGGCTAAAAAAAAAAAAATAAAAAAATCCCAAATCCTGTTCTAGTTCCTGAAAGCCGAAGTTTTTCCCGCTGCAGTTTGGTAGAGGAAGCACAAGGAAACTCGGAGAAGCTTCACCAAAATGCCCTGCGGGAGGTGTGGGGGGTCTCTGGCCGGGTCTGACGAGCAGGACAGGGGTGTTAAACTCGGCTTAAGTTACCCCCTGGGACAAAGACTGATTTTCACGGAAAACTAAGCTAAAACTCCAAACCAAGCCGGGCCTTTCTGCGCCCCATCTCTCCAGCCAAGGGGGCCGGTGACTCCCCGAGGGTCCCTGCCCTGGACGTGCCCCCCCGAGGCGGAGCCCCCCCGGCCCGGGGCACTCACAGAGGACGCGGAGCGGGGCGGGGGCGGCGCTGCGGTTGCGGGCGGGGGTCCGGACGGAGCAGTGGTAGGAGCCGGCGTCGGAGGCGGAGATGCGGGGCAGGGGGAGGGCTGGGGAGGGGCCGCTGCGCAGCCACAGCCCGTCCCTGTACCACGAGTAGCTCAGCACCTCCTCGGCCCCGCCCGCCACCGCGCAGGTGAGGGTGGCATTGCCGCCTTCCCGCACCTCCGGGGCCGGCAGGATCCGCACCCGGACGGCTGCAAGGGAAGGGAGGCGGCGGTGAGACCCCCCCTTTTCCGGGACAGGGAAGCTCAGAGAGGGACAGGACAGTAAAAGGTGGGAACAGCCACCGTTCCCATGGTGCTCCTGCGGATCTCGCTATGGATGCTCCACCCCTGGAAGTGCCCGAGGCCGGGTTGGACGGGGTTTGGAGCAACCCGAGCTGGTGGGAGGTGTCCCTGCCCATGGCAGGGGGTGGAATAGATGGGCTTTGAGCTGTCTCCCCGCCCAAAGCTGTCTGACTCCACGATTCCCGGGCGATGCCGGCTGTGTGAGCACGGCCAGGACGGTGGCACGGATGGACAGGGCAGAGCCAGCCCTGGCATCAGCCCCGGGAGGAGCTGTGTCTCCTTTGCCAGGTGTGGGGCGCACAAGCAGCTCTCTGGGAACGCCTCCAGCACAGCACTCTGTCCCCAGAAAGATGGATTTCCCCCCTTTCCTTCTGTTTCCATCCTGTCCACCCTGTTCCAGGAGAGGAACAGGGAGGACTCTGCCCTCCCTTCCCCGTGACTGTCCCCCAGCAGCGTTTGCCTTCCCCCCTTCCCCAAACCCCCCAATTCCATCGCTCCCCCCGCTGCCTGCAGCTCTCCATCCCCTTCCCACGCCATCCCCATTCCCGTTCCCATTCCCAGCCCTCACTCACTGCCCGCTGTGAAGTTCCCGGTGGCGCTGGCATTGCCGTGGGCGTTGGTGGCCACGCACTGGTACCGACCCTCATCCTGCAGCAGCACGGGGTGGAACTGCATCCTCAGGACGTTGGTGGCCGAGGTGACACCGAGCCGTGGCCCGGGGTCGGGCCGTGGCAGCGCCGTGGAGGCCACCAGGGCCCCGTCCTTGAAGAGGGCCAGCTGTGCCGGGGGGACACTGTCCACGGAGCACTGCAGGACCCCCCCCTGCCCCGGAGGGGGCTCCAGGAAGGAGCTCAGCACCGGCACCCGTGGGGGGTCTGCCCGGGCAGGGGGGACACAGAGGGTGAGCAGAGCCTGGGGCTGCACCCAGAGAGCCACAGGGCCCACCTTGGGGCCAGTATCCATCCCAGTGCCATCCCATCGGCACCATCCCATCGGCACCATCCCATCCCAGTGCCATCCCATCCCAGTGCCATCCCATTGGCACCGTCCCATCCCAGTGCCATCCCATCAGCACTGTCCCATCCCAGTGCCATCCCATCCCA